TAATCGATACCAAATGCAGAGATTATGTAGAGTCATTTGAAAAACTAAAGGTATTGATAATTTCAGAACCGATTTTAATCTACCCTGATTTCTCAAAACCCTTTTCCCTAACAACTGACGCTAGCAATATAGCAATTGGTGCTGTTTTGTCACAAAACCATAAGCCCGTATGTTACGCAAGCAGAACGCTAAATGAACACGAAATAAACTATGCTACTATCGAAAAATAATTTTTAGCTATAGTTTGGGCAACAAAATATTTTAGGTAATATCTATTCGGAAGGCCATTTGAAATATTAAGTGATCACACACCACTGGTGTGGCTTAACAACATAAAGGAACCTAATATGAAACTGCAAAGGCGGTAAATCAAATTGAATGAATTTGATTACAAAATTAAGTATCTTCCTGGCAAAGAAAATTATGTAGCGGATGCTCTTTTCTGCACAGTAATAGAAGAAGCCATGGTTGGCGAAATTGCTGACAGCATGGATGCAGCAATTTATAGCGCTGCTGAGGATAATTTAAATTACATCTCCATCACCGAAAGACCCTTAAACAATTTCTCTAGGCAAATCGAGATAGTAAAAGGAGAAACAGACACAGTTAACACGAGTCATTACTTTCAGAAATTAAAAATTGAAATTACATATAAAGAATGACGATCGAGTTGGCTAAAATCCTCATCAAGGAATATTTTTGCACAAAGAAAAGCACTCTTTATTTCCCAGATGACGGCGACTTTCTGATATTCCAAAGGGCGTATATCGAAATCATAAGCTCTAATTGTTTCACAAAATTGTTGCGATGTACTCAGAAATACTGATATTCTGACATATGGGCAATTCTCTGGTGTCGAATGCGACATTCGTACGCATTCAAACTAAAAAAACACATGTGCCAACACTTTATTTTAATTTTATAAAAATTGAAACGTATAGCTCTTGGTTAGCACTATAATTGGTGCTAAGGTCGATTTTGAACCCTTGTTTGTTTTCAAGATATTCACTAAAATGTACTGCGTTCGCACGCGACAAAAATAGAAGTTACATTTGAAAAAAACCAGTTTAAGCTCTGATTTCAGCGAAACGTGATGAAAAATTGTAGTACAATAAATTTTAATGAATTACCCAATGAATTATCTTACTAACGTATTTTGTTTGATTTTAAAATATTAAGTAGTTATTTTTTAAATTCAATTTTAGTCCCGGTCGCACGCGACAGTTTGGAAAGCGCTAATTCAAACTGAAACTGTACGAATATTGGTGATCGGATATGTCCTTTTGCACTTAATATTGAATCTTTGGGTTTTTTATGTCATATTAGAAACCAAAAGTTAAAGCAAAATGGTTCGGTTTAAGAGATGGGCATCAAAACAAAATATGCCATTTTTTATGCCTTTTTTTGATAAAAACAACATTATTTGCGTTTGCGCGTGTTTGACATCGATTTTTTTGAAACTCATTTTATAAAAAGAAAAATTCTCTTAGTCTTGATCATCCTGGCCAATTTTTAATGTAATCATGTTAAAAATACTTGTTTTTAAGCAATTTTAAGTTTTTGGCCGCGGTGCACGTTTCTGGAGAATTGCCCATATGCAGAATTTAAAGATTTAATCTTAAAGAAAAATAAGGAACTTTTACACCCAGGTATAGAAAAAACCATTAATTGGTTTAAAGAAGAATATTACTATCCTGACAGTCAGAAACTCATTCATAATATAATCAATGAATGCAAAGTTTGCAACATAGCTAAAACTGAACATAGGAATACGAAACTTGTATTCGAAACGACACCCGAAATCCTAAACGCTAGAGAAAAATATATATATTCATTTTTATCTAACAGGGAACCAAATCTTCCTATCTTGCATAGATGTCTATTCGAAATTAGCTACCCTTATTGAAGAGAGATTGGTTAGATGCAAAAGGAGCCCCCATGAAGATATTTAATGACATGGGAAAACCGCAAGAAATAAAAGCAGATAACGATTCAGCGTTTATGTGTATAGCATTGCAAAACTGGCTAAAATCAGAAGGCGTAAATATAACCATTACAACAAGTAAAAATGGTCTATCTAATATAGAAAGATTTCATAAGACTGTAAATGAGAAGCTCAGAATTATTGGTAGTGAACAAAATATAGAAGATCGATGCACAAAATTTGAAACGATCCTATATGTTTATAATCACAAAACAAAGCTCAATACCACTAAAAGAACTCCAGAAGCTATTTTTCTATACGCAGGAAGCCCCGATATTGATGTACAACAAAATAAAATTAACAAAATTGAGCAGCTAAACAAAAACAGACATAATTATGATGTTGATACGAAATACAGGCAATCCCCATTAGTCAAAAGTACGGTGACCAACCCGTTTAAGAAAACAGGTCAGATTAGACAAGTGGATAACACTTTGAAGAAACAAAAGAAGACTAACAAAAGTAAATACGATAATTCCAGACCCATCGAAGAAGATTAAGAGATGCCCCGTTTTCCCCTTAATGAGTATATGTCTGGCAATCATAGCTCTTATTACCGTAGTCCAAGGCAGTAGCATAAAAGTAAATACAATAAGTGCTAAAAATGGATACCTATTATTCCAAACAGGAGTTAGGGAAATACCCACAACTTACGAGTATCACTACTTAAGCATGAACATAACTAAGACCATGTTAATGTTTGAGAATTTATTGGATGAAGCGAAATATTTTCCTGATGTAATCCAAATAGATTACTTAGTTGAAAAACTAAAAAGGGAAATAAATGGTTTGAGAATAATCAAGAGAACCAAACGAGGTCTGGTAAATATTGTAGGAACAGCGTACAAATATTTATTCGTCACATTAGATCAGGACGACAGAGATGAGTTAAAAGGCAAAATCAATAACTTGTCAGAAAATTCCGTTCAGAATCACGATTTGAATATGATTATAGATGTGGTAAATAGCGGGATAGATATCATCAACAAATTCAAAATAGAACAGGAAAAATACCAACAGGTGGCATTACTTATTTTTAATTTACAACAATTCACTGAATATATTGAGGATATAGAAATGGGTATGCAACTCACAAGACTGGGAATTTTTAATCCGAAATTACTTAAACACGAAACATCCACTTGGCTTAAAACAGATACAAACGAAATTTTAATTATTTCCTATATTCCTAGTGAGATAATTAAAGTCCGAATATTCAATATAGTCCCATATCCTGACGAGTCCAATTACATCCTTACCGAATCTGTATTTGATAAGTTTTATATTAACGAAGATAAGGTCTATAACACACATACAGGTAAACCAATTTTCGATAAATGTTTGGTAGGAATTATTAAGCAAGAACCTACTGAATGCAAATACACTAAAGCACACAAAGACTTCCAAATCAATTATGTAGAACCAAACATATTAGTCACCTGGCATATTCCAGAAACATTTGTTAATCAAAATTGCATCTACAATAGAGTTTCTATACAAGGAAACAACATTATTAAAATAAAGAATTGTATTATGCAAATAGTCACAGTCAATTTATATTGTTAACAACATAACCAAAATAAAACCGTTGGCATTCATTCAAACAAAAGATATAATTAAATCCCATGTAAAATATTACAGCATGTTTCAAATCATATGTCTTACATCTTTTTTCATTACAATCCTAAGTTTAATATTGTATGTCACCTATAAATTTAAGAGTATACCTAAGAAACTCATTGTTAAATATAAGAAAACACAAGAAGAACAACCGATCCCGGGACAAATTGTAAATGATCGGGTCATACCGGAAAATAACATCATGATTTATCCCAAATTAACCGCCTGAGGATAGGGTAAATTCAAAGGTTGGGAGAGTGACATATCCACAGTCCCATAGACTTTAGCACATGCCTACTTCTTCCACATATGTAAACCTATGAATCATCATCGAATGATAACCATACAGTCATCGGACACCACAACTCCACACGAGTCTGAGAGTAGAATAAACACAAGTCAAGCCATCCTAGTCAGCCATCCTGGTCCAATAAGTTGAGTTCAGTTTGAGACACGAAATTATTCGATCGGTGTTCTTCAAATAAAAATATCTTGTACTAAATTCGGTTTAATAAAATAAAATATTTTTTAAACTTACGAATAACCAAGTATTTAATTATATATATTACAAGAAAAACAAGAAAGAAAGCTAACTTCGGCACGCCGAAGTTTATATAACCTTGCAGATAGAACTTCGATGATTATGAATTAATACAATATAAATTATATATATTTATGTTAAACAACAATGAAGTAATACCTGCTTTCACTTCATTCACCTATACACAGAATTGCATTTTTCCTCTACGTCTAACGATCGTTTGTATGGCATATATCATAATATAATCGTCCTATTTTCATAAAATTTGACACAAAATTTAAGACTATTATAAAAGGGCAATATCTCAAATTTGATGAAAATGTGTTGAAAACTAAGAAAGGTATACTTTTGCATTCCTATTGGAGCTATATGATATAGTAGTCCTATTTTCATAAAATTGTAGAATAATATTAAATGGCTATATCTCAAATTTGATTCAATTTTGTTGAAAACTGAAAATGTTAAAATTTTTTTTGTCAAAAATTTCTTTTCATTCCTATGGCAGCTATATGATATCGTCGTACGATCCGGCCTATTCCGACTTATATACGAGTGAGAGTATATAGAAGACTAACAACAAAATTTCATTCAGATAGCTTCAAAACTGAGAGACTAGTTTGCGTAGAAACGGACAGACGGACAGACGGACAGAAGGACAGACGGACATGGCTAGATCGACTCGGCTGTTGATCGTGATCAAGAATATATATACTTTATATGGTCGGAGGTGCCTCCTTCACTGCGTTGCAAACTTCTGACTGAAATTATAATACCCTGCAAGGGTATACAAATTTATATATATGTATTTAAAAATACACTGCTTCGTAATTATACTAGGTTTATTTTATAACTCACCAGAAGTTCCAAGTCCAGAATATGTTAATATAGAATAAAATATTTGTACCATCACGCCCTCATCTTGGTCACAAAGTGTACTTAAACAAAATGGAATTTGCAGTTTACTAAATGCCCAAAAGGAATGCGAAAATCCTTTATATGTTTCACCATGGTCTTGCAGGCTGGCACCCTGTTCTGTTCTCAATTTTTCTATACGATGTTTGGATAGACGTCTTAGAGTGTTTTTTAAAAATCCACCCAACTCCTGAGGCTTTTTAACTAAGTTCATATCCACTAATTGACGCCTGCAGGTAACAACATTTTGATACAATCTCAATCTGTCTTCATTGGTTGTTCTCTTAATTTTTTTTGAGCACTCCGCAATGTTTAAAATCCAATTTGATAAAGCAGGGAAATACGATATAATTAAAGATCCAATTTCATTTTTTTGTGTTGTTTCAAAAACAAAACATTTTTGGGTATCAATCAGAGATATCTTATCAGAGAAATTCTTGTTTAGCTGATGCATATTTCTATTCAGTGATATTGTTATAAAACTGTCACTGGGATCTAACATAATGGATTCAATATCTATGTACTTAAATTGGTGAATAATAAATTTGTCTTCAGGTTGAACAAACATTATTCCATCACAATGAACTGCCAGATATATGTTATTAACGAAATTCCAATAGCCTTTGTATGTAACTGCATACATTGTTGTGCCATAAAGAGGATACTGCATTACACAACTTAGGTATAAAACTTTAGCGGTTAGCTCTTTTCTGGATGATCCGTATTGTCGGTGGGCTTGTGCTAAAATTGGTATCCAAAATTGTTGCTCTCTTGTTTTTGATATTCTATTTGGTAAGAAGCTATTTATATCCGAATAATATTCTGGCTTCGGCTGATTAGATGGATCTCCCAATGCTACTTGAGCTTGCAAGCCTGCAAGCTGAAGAGCCACTTTCTCACTGACCGGGAATTCGTCTTTCTGAAAGAATAAATCCAGAATATTTTTAATATATGAATTTAAATACAAAGTAGGCAATACAAAAGTAGACGTTATTATATTAACTGCCTTGCTCGGAACAATAATTTAAAATATGTATTAGAAGGGAAGCTAACTTCGGCATGTTGTAGTTTATATACCCTTGCTGATAGAACTTCGATCACAAGAAATTAATACAATATAAATTATATATGTATATTTATGATAAAAAAAAATCATTTCAGTTTAGCCTGCTTTCATTTCATTCACCTATACATATTATAATTGCAGTCTTACATTCAAAGTTTTGCATCCTTCTCTATATCTAGCGATCATTGTATGGCCGCTATATGATATAGTGGTCCAATTTTCATAAAATTAAAACACAAATTCACAATTATTTTCACCGCCAAACTTATTTTAGTTATTATTCTTGTTGTTATTGACAGATTTCTCTAAAAATTTTCTGTATTTAAAAAACAATCAGAAAAGGAAAACAAAAGATAACTGTTCGTAGGACAATGGTAAAGGCAAAAGGCTATATATATTTTTATTTTAATATATATAGATATAGTTTAATAAACTCAATACAACCCAATTGAAAGCCTTCATCGATACCAAAGCAAATTTTTCAACTATTAATAAAGTAACTTATAAGATTTTTGCTAAAAAAAATATTTAATATTAATAGCATTAAACTTAAAACGAAAATTAATTATTTGTAAATATAACACTGTAGATGCATCTATTCTTTCACTTATAGCATTTTTCTATGAAACGTTAACTTTCGAATTCCTCTACGCGATAAATAAAATTTTAGGGAAATCAACAAGAATAACAACTAAAAGAAATCTGGCTGTGAAAATGTTCGTCGTGTAAATACTTTTGACTACCTTTGTAAAAGAGCTATATCTCAAATTTGATGAAAATGTGTTGAAAATGTTATTCTTTTTTTAATTTTCCGATTTTTCCTATGGCAACTATATGATATAGTTATTTGATCCGGCCCCTTCCATAATATATACAAGGGAGAGTGTATAGAAGACTAACTTCTAAGATACTAGTTTGCGTAGAAACAGACAGAAGGGACAAACGGACATGGCTAGATTGACTCGGCTGTTGATGCTGATATAGAATATATATATTTTAATGTGAGATGAGTCCTTCACTGTGTTGCAAACATCTGACTAATATTATAATACCCTGCAAGGTTATAAAAATAGTAGACTGATGGAGTATATGCTGCAATGGCTCGATTATTCGAATTTACGGTTATGAACACAACAGAGCTTGTATTTCATGGGTCAAAGTAATTCGTACATCAGTTGAGAAAGACTGGACCGATTTGGATGAAATTTTTTTTTTCAATTGTTTTTTTTTTTTAAATTCGTTAGGGCCACAAAAGATGTTGACAAGTTATAGTTATTTTTATTTATTATTATTATTCTTTGTGTCCATCTTTGGTTTACAGGACTTTAGAGTATTACTTTGAGTGTGTACAGCAGCATGAAGTATTGGCACAATTTAACATGTATCGATATTAATAATGATGTCATCGTTTTCTCTAATAAAATGCAGAATCGATCTAGCCAATAATTCTAAATGATCTACAATTTCAATTTAAGCGGATTCACTTCCTAGATCGATTGGCTTTTGTGATAACAATCAATTAATTGCACGGCCAATCGTTGGACGTCTGTTGCATTCCATGCTTTTTGCATGGTCAGTACATACAAAGATGTATAAGTATAAGATTAGTAACGCCATACGATTTTTTTGCACACGATTTTTTCGTGCTGGCTTTTGAACTGGCTCCAGGCTCTCTCGCACTTTGTTCAAAAGCCAGCGAGAGAGCGCTCTAGAGCCAGCCGCTCTCTCGTGCTGGCTCTAGCCGCTCTCTCGTGCTGGCTCTAGACTCTAGATTCTAGAGCCAGCAGCACTCTCACGCATACAGCAATGTTTTCGTGATGGCTCTAGAGCCAGCAGCTCTCTCATACGCATACAGCAACATGGCGTGCCTCAAAATACCGATTTCGCGGTTGAATTTATTACAAATTTGTACATTTATTTTATTTTATTTTTATAATTTATGTATATATTTATATATGGGCAATTCTCCAGAAAGGTCCACCGCGGCCAAAAACTTAAAATTGCTTAAAAACGAGTATTTTTAACATGATTATAAAAAAAATTGGTCAGGATGATCAAGACTAAGAGAATTTTTCATTTTCTAAAATAAGTTTCAAAAAAATCGATGTCAAGCACGCGCAAACGCAAATAATGTTGTTTTTATCAAAAAAAGGCATAAAAAATGGCATGTTTTGTTTTGATGCCCATCTCTTAAACCGAACCATTTTGCTTTAACTTTTGGTTTCTAATATGACATAAAAACCCAAAGATTCAATATTAAGTGCAAAAGGACATATCCGATCACCAATATTCGTACAGTTTCAGTTTGAATTATCGCTTTCCAAACTGTCGCGTGCGACCGGGACTAAAATTGAATTTAAAAAATAACCACTTAATATTTTAAAATCAAACAAAATACGTTAGTAAGATAATTCATTGCGTAATTCATTAAAATTTATTTTACTACAATTTTTCATCACGTTTCGCTGAAATGAGAGCTTAAACTTGTTTTTTGCAAATGTAACTTCTATTTTTGTCGCGTGCGAACGCAGTACATTTTAGTGAATATCTTGAAAACAAATAAGGGTTCAAAATCGACCTTAGCACCAATTATAGTGCTAACCAAGAGCTATACGTTTCAATTTTTATAAAATTAGTTAGTTTGAATGCGTACGAATGTCGCATTCGACACCAGAGAATTGCCCATATATATATAAATAAATATTATTTCTAAGTCAATTGAATTGAATAATTATAAATACATATATAAATATGAATTTAAATGGTATTTTTTTGTTATTATAATAATAATATTTAATATATGTATATATTTAATAATTCAAATATATAATATACATACATATTTAAATATTGGAATTAAACGAAGTATTTTTATTTTTTGCATTACTTATAAAAATAATATAATTAAAAATAAAGAAAAAAAGAACAATATAAAGGGACTCAAGCACTTTAAAAATGTAAACAAACTAAAATCAAAACAAACAAACACATCGATATGCACATGTATACATCAGCTGTTTTTGCTGCCGTTCTCGTCCCCCTCTCTACCTAACAAGCGGTCTTCAGCCAAAATATAAAATTTTAATTTTTCGTCGTTGGGCATGCGAACAGAAGCACACACATATTCACGCACACATGCGCACTTTTTTGTTCTGTGTTTACTCATACATGCAAACGCATTCTGTTTTTAGATATTTATGCTCTCAACTTTGTGAGAGCAGGGAGAGCGCCATTGTCGTTTGAAACAAAAAATTAGCCTCATATTGCAAAACGAATGTATGGCCGTGAGGCATCTTATAAGTTATAAAGTCTTTGGTACATATGTACAAGTGGCCCGTATGGTTTAAGGATTAGTAGGCGCTATAGGAAATATAGAAAAGAGGACGAGAAAATAAACTACTGGCGTGCTGCCAAATTGCTTGCCTGAATGTCTACTATGTGGGTTAGAATTAAAGTTTATAGTTTTAGAAGGCTATCTAGGTTAGAGATTTATGTGTATAAATCATTATAATTTGCACACTGTACTCTAAAAGGTTCATGCAATTAAAAAGAGGTTATACAGTGGTCCAACACTAAAGGAATATAGGATCTAGTATTTCTACTTGGTACATGGAAATAGAGCTGACTCAACAAGTCATCACTTTGAACGTCACCATGAATGAGGTTATAGATAAAGGTAATGCAAAGCATAGTTCTACTGTTGGCTAAGGATGGTAAGTTAATTGGGAGGAGACTATAAGTGTAAGAAGGTAATCTTCGGTTTTTATCCCAATTTAAACTGCGTAGAGCGAAAAGTTAAAAGTTCTTTTGAAACGACTTGATGCGCTTACTATGGACGCCGTACTGATGGCTCCAAACGCAGCATCCATATTCTAAGAGAGGAGGAACTAAAGAAGTATATAATGACTTAGAAAGACTGGTAAGTGACGTCCTTGCATTGCATGCAAAGCTTGACGTCATCAGCGTACTTAAGCACTCTGGAGTTAGTCAAGACTGAAATCAGTATAGACTAAATCTGTATGATCTTCGCTTAATTAAACCATTTTGACATTGAGAAATAACTGATTTACAAAGATGCTGCAACTGAGGAGTAATTATGTTTTCGAAAAGTTTAGGGATAGCCGACAACTTAGAAATTCATCAATAATTGGAGGCATCAAATAAGGGATAAGGTAAACAATTTAAGAAGATTGAGAACCGGTGAATTTAAATTTAGCATATAGCCTAGATTTTTTTATTTTTTAGTCGGCTCATAGGATAACGGAACACATTCAGCCATCAAAGTCCGCTTTGCGAAAACAGAGGACTTACTTGGCTAGACGGTCAGATATATTCTGTAAGTCAGACCCAATGTCAAGAGTCATATCAAAAGTAATTTAATAGGGATTTTCGGGTTGCGTCAGAGGCGCCACTCTAGCTTAACTGACTATGGTGCTGAGATAAAGTCATGTTGTGGAGAAGTTGGGAGAGTATTGGTGGAATTATTTGAGGAGCAAATGATTTCTTCACACAGAGGAATTCAACTTCGTTGCATTCTTCGATAGTTTAAAATTCTGACGTGAGTGAGGAATCAACCGCTATGAGGACTGCACCCCACTAAAAAATCTTCGAAGCTCAGAATCTCCAGCTTTAACCAGGTTTCTGTGAACACAAAAACCTAAGAAGCAAACGAAAGACTATCAGAATACAAATTAAGAAGCTTACATCGCCAGCTTCTTTCATTCTGATAGGAAATATTTAGGGAGTAAGTTAGTTTTTGGTTTGGGATTGGGAGACATATAGGGCGCATTGGTCTAATCAAGCCAAGGAAGAATTATTTCCAAAGGCTGTTTTTTCTTTTTCTTAGCTTCGAA